GACATTAACAGCTAAAATGTCAGACGGAAATACAAATGTAAAAAAAAAATATTTTCTCACATTTTTTTAAATTTTATTCATAATAAATTATGTTCCATATATGAATAGTTAATGATAAATTAAAGCCCTGTTTCTCCTGAACAAAAATGATCTATAAAAAGTGTGGGTGCACTTAATGTGACAGCGGTGAATTACGGGTGAACAGACATGTAGCGCAAATTCCAGTTTTTTGTTTACGTTTTGTTTTGATCAGAACGTGTACTATTAACTCCGTCCTGAAGGAGTTAAACATACAGTGACTAGTCGTTAGAGAGAGGTAAAAACAAAGAAAGTCTGTTATAAATCATGAAAATTATCATAGCTTATTAGTTGCAATGTAGTAATACATTGTATCTACAGTTGTGTAGCTAATGTCTTCCTTTTGAGAGGTAGAACTCTGAATAACATAGGAATAAACTGTTGCAATGTGGTTGAGAGCAGTGAAGCAGTGCTAGTTGTTTTGTAAAATTTTCCTGTCACGTTACGTTGAGTTTATTCCCTCTTTTTCACTTCGCTTTAAGGTTTTTATTTGACGATCTGAGTAGCTTACTCTCTCAGAAACACTTTGGCAAAATGCTGTATGGAACTTTTTACACAGGGTTTTCACTGAATTTTAAATTGTTTGAAAATTCCCCTGGGACTTTGGCCATTTTGGACTTTAATTTCTAATTCTGAAAAAAGAAATTAAATTTCCTGGGTATCTATCCTCCTGTGTGTTTGGGCTTAAATTTGAAATAATCGAAGTTACGTTTATTTAGTCTGTGAAAAGCCCTTGGCATGTGTGTGTTTTTATTTATTTATTTCTTGCTGGTTAGGGTTTTGTAAAATGAAGATGTTTTTAAATTTGTTTTGTAGCTAAAGGGCAGAATTATTTTTTTGGTGACCTTCTGTTGCTAATTTAACTTGGCCACAGGGGGGCGATGATGTATCAAGAAAACAGTTCTCACCCCAAGTGCGGAAGTTCTCACAAAATGCTATCTATAAAGATTTTAGTTTAAAGTACCACAGCAATTATCTTAAGTTTAGGGCATTATTTTAATTTTTTTTAGGAATATATACAGTAGTTTATAATTGACTAAAAATAAATTTCCCAATTTACTTCAAAATTATTGGAAATGTTAAGGTTATTTTCCTAAGACTATTTTTGACTCAAAATTTAGACTCTAAATTCTGCAATTAAAATTTCTGTTCACCATAATCAGTCCATATCTGTCCTTGTGCGATAGCCAATGACATCCTGATTTAGTGCAGAATTTTGTTTGTTTCTATATTTCTTTCTGTTGTAATGATGTGGTTTGTTCCTTCCTAGCTGGTGCAGCTCACTGACCTCTGATGGTCCCATGTCTGACCTTCTGCTCTGCTGATCTGGTCAGACTTCCTGATATTAAGATAGATGCACTGAACTGCTGGTCATCACCAAGACCCGTCTCCAATAATGTGAGTACCATTTAGTAGTACTGTTACTAATAAATTGATCTTATGACACATGGGTTTTCTTTATTGCAAACTGAACATCCCAGTACCACTCTCTACTTAGTATAGCCTTTTCAGTTCCCTTTTGGGAGCCCGATCCTGTGTTCTTCCTTCATCAACCCATCTAACCTTCACAGGAGCGTGAGCTCACCTCCAGAGCACAGATGGCAGTGCTGTGATATGGAGTGTAACTGACATTGTGTGTGTGTGTATATGCTTGGAGGTACCCACTGAAGCGATCAGTCACAGCCAATGAATGGGCAACAGGGACTGGAACACAAGTATGACGAATTTGCAGATCTGTGCAAAGAAACCGGGAAGAATAATTCCTAATACACACTATCTTTTGATTGTATGTCAATATAAAAAAAAGTTTTGTTTTCATGTATTGATTTTATTTTGTAATATTTATCATCCTTGTCGGAAGCAGTTGTCTGAATCACAGAGGTAGCTTTATTGCTAGAAACTATTTATTGTAATCTTATTTTTTTTTTTTCCATGAGAGGTGTTATCCACAATGTTATAGTTGATCAGTCTTATGCTTGCTGTGAAAAAAATAATAATAAAATATATATATATATATATATATATATATATATTTATATATATATGTGTATGTATGTATGTATGTATGTATGTATGTATGTATATATATGTATGTATGTATGTATGTGTATGTATGTATGTATAATATTGTCCAATGCTTGCACTCCAGTACAGTAATATGTATAGCCCGGTGCTTGTCGGCACAAATAATAGATAACAAAATATGAAAAGCACTCCAGGGACTTCATATAAGGTGAAAAAATAAACTTGGCTTTATTCAGCAACTGCCAAAAGTGATCAATGTTTCAGTCCCATGTCGGGACTTTCGTCAGGATGTATGTATGTATATATATATATATATTATTATTATTATTTTTTTTTTTTAAATTTCTTGTCGTGAGAGAGCCTTCGGTATAGTGGTTGCAGCATTGCTGATGTGTACAATTGATTTAACGGTTATCTGCACAATTTTGGGTTAGTGGCGAATTAAATCAGGATTAATGTAGCGCTGAGGCAGGTTATTTTCATTGGTGATCTGCCTTTTGTGAGATCATGAGCATTAAATTAAATGCTTTAATCTCCATCTTACTGTTCTAAAATGTCATACATAAAGACGATCTATTTTCGAAGGACTTAAGTGCCACTTGTGGCAGGCTGTCTGACAACCACTATTGGAATTAGAACAGATCTCCTATACTCCGACTGAGTACATCCAGTGAAAAGTCTCCCTAGTCCCGCAGAGTGAAAATGTGTTATATGCCTTTGCATCCCCGTCAGCCAAGACTTGATGATGTGTAAATCAACTGGTTTTACTCAGGCAAGCATACAGATATTTATACCCAGACCCCCAGCATGGGGTCTCTATTCATTCTGTCCTAAGCCCGACCAGGCGTTGCTGTGTATGTGAGATAGTTAGACCTTGGTAAATCAAATATCCCCAAAACAACAAGGTATCCCCACAAGTCATATATCCCTGAAAGGTGGGATCCGAGCACCCATCTTGTGAAAAAAGCCCTCGGAATCTAGGAGAATTATCCAATCTCCACTCGATTTAAACCTTTGACCAGCTGCTACTATCGTCCTGGCCAAAAATAGTTCCATGAGGCCGGTACCATGTCGCGGTCTTTTACCGGGGGCTCCTGCTGGTTGGAAAAAGTAAGCTCCTTCTTTCTCAAAGAGTGCGATTTTGTTCAGGAGGAAGGGTAGAATTTACTCTCCAAAGAGTGCCCTCCTAGCTCATGGGGAAAAGGGTCAGAACAAGGTATTAAAATGACCAGTGTGAGGCACTGAGGGTAGACGGACTAGAGTTCCAGAGAGTATTTCAGTAACTCCCACTGGACCACTAAGTCACTCCGGCTGGCTCAAAAGGGTTCAACAGAGAAAAAGGGGTAGCTGTTATGGAGGCTTGTGGGGGTGTGCACGCAGGCGAGAGAACGAGAGTGTTAATATTCCTTCAAGGCATAATTTATTTTGCATATAATTCATTACAGGAATGTTATCTGATAAATATATCTTACCTTTTCTCAAAAATTGTAACATTTTACATTGACTGTACAGCAACACCACTACATTAAGGTTTAGTAGCTTTAGTGCTTGGAATCTTCCTTTGAACCTTGAGAAAAAGTGTTTTTTATTTATATAGTGTTCCTGGAATTGTAGGTGTTGACTTGAAATTGAATGGAAACTGAAAGTGCTTGGCAGTAAGAAGATGTTTAACATTACCATGTGCTCCCCAACAATCACAATTAAAGGAGCACTCGGTGTTATAAATACATTTATTAATTCTGGATTGTTTAATAATTTAGCTTTTGATTTCCCCTCCCCTCTCCCCACCCCTTAATTTAGAATAAAATAAGTGGTGATAGTCTTTCAGTGATTGACTTGTAGCCATCCCAGTGCTTCTCACGAAGAATAATTGTAAGATTTGGTGAAAGCACAGCAATTTCATGCACGCGCTGGGCATGCAGCACTTAAAGAGTTAAATTACATACTTAGCCTGACCCTTCCTGGGGAAACTTGTAAGTTAAAATATGATAGAAAATTAGTTTAAAAACATTTAGTACAACCGATAGCGAACGTTTAGCCATTTAGTTATTTGGTTGTGCTAAAGGTGTGGAAGGGACAGTTCCTCTTTAAGCGTGTTTGAAATGATTTATACTCTGAAAGAGAATCTAGGAAGGGCAACGTTCACATCCTAAGATTTTGAATATAATATAGACGTATCCTCTGCTTTTGGCAAATAAATGTGTTTGATTTGGGTCTGAAAATGTAATTAAATGTTGAAATGTATAATGCTTACTCTCACTCTCTAAGTGGTTAGTCTTTAAAATAATTATACATTTGCTGTATGTTACTTTTTATAGAAAATCAGATATTTTTGCCAGTTGTTGGAGTTTTCGTTTTCTGTGGTCTCTCCTGGAACTTTGAAAACTATAAATAGATGGTAGAGAGAAAAAGTTACAAACTGCCTAAAACTTTCAAGATCTCTAGTAAAGTGCACATAATGGGTTAAATTACGAGCATTCATCCATTTTAACGCAAAACCAAATATCCAACAACTTCTTTAAGGTGTAATTTTAAATAAATCTAAAACCTTTCCCACACTACGAACCTTTTCTTTAAGTATTATTGAGAAGTAATGTGCATGAAATACACAATAATCTTAAAGTGAGGTGCTTGCCTAATGGAGGGCTTGAATAGAAGATAAGTCTTATCTCTGCGAGCAGCCATCACTCCTCCCTGCTTGCATGCCTGGGGTAAAACCCGTTTGCTCTAGCCCAGTGCAGCCCTATGTTTATTTCTTATATTGTAATCTTTAGCCACGTCCCGATCATACTCTTCATAGCAGTAATTAGTTTTTGTGTGGTTTTATGATGCAAGTTGCAGTTCTTTTATGAGGTTGCTATCATGCACTTTTATTAGTTTGCACAGTAAATGGGGCTGGGAAACAGCTTTATAACAGCTGGCTGTTGACCTGCTCTTGTCTGACACCACCCAGGCTCGTCATGACATCACTATGCAAATCAAGCCCGGCTAGTCCACCTTAATGTGTTTTTTTTTTTTTCTTTGCTTTGCTTTTTCAAGGAAGTTGTATGTGCACCTTGCTCTGTCTTGGCTGCCAGAGCAAGACCTGCCATAGTTTTGTCAGGCATGTGATCGAAAAATGGATTTTTTAAAAAGAGTAGTGCCTTCAGCCATGTCTGGAGAAGTGGTCTTAGGCCTTGGGGGCACTCTGCGCGAAAGCTCACCCAGGCTCCTGAAAATGAGAAGAGTGAGCCTGATGTCACTAGGACAAACCATAGACGAGGACCACGAGACTGACTTCCAGAAGCAAAACATGAACAGACACAGAAGACGGCCTCTAGGTATTTTTACACACTGTAATTATTTATTATGTCACAGTAGTGTTGTAGTAAGCACCGGGAATAATGTTTTACCTGTTCTCACACCTGCAGTTTACAACAGTGACATTAAACGTGCAGGATCTGAAACAAATGTTTGTTTAAATTGAAAATCCAATTAAGAATCAATATGGATTACGATTGATCAATTTTCTTTTTGTCTGGACTATCAAGGGAATGTTAGCGTTTTTTATTTTGTTTAATTTCTTCATAAGTGTATTTTTTGAGGCTGATTTGCTTGATTAGCCTGAATACACTGTATATTTATGTTTGTGGAAACATAACAAGTGTCTGTGACTTATTAGGCATATTTATTTAAATGGAGATATTTGGCTGTTGATTTATATTTTACAGACTATATAAATTATATATGGAAATATACTTTTTTGGTTATTTAGTCCTGTAAACTGAAGTGTTAACTCTAATTATATCTGCCGCTGCATAATTCGTTTGGTGCTGTATAAATAGGTGACAATACAAATAGGTGCACATAGGAAAGTTTGCACGTGAAATGTGCAGTTGCGTGCCAAATAGTGACTCTGTATTGGTCTAATGATTTTTGCACCTCTTCACAAAAGAGGAAAAGTACATCTTTTGTAAGCTGATCAATCAGTGGTGCTTCAACTGGACTATGGGAGAGTTTTGTTTGCTTTAGGTGGTTCAGGATTATATGTTTACACCGTGGTTACCTTGATAAAATGGCAAAAGAGTGGAAAGGAAAGTTGTTAGTTTCTTGTTTTGCATTGAGGCAATTCCGGAGAACGGTGTTTAAAATCTGCTCTCTACTCTCGAATTCTACCTATCATTTACATTTTTGCAAAGATGATCAATGTTTTGACCTTTTGATGAAGACTAGAAGGTCGCAACGTTGATCATCCTTGCAAAAATGTAATACAAATTAGATTTGAATTGTGGTATCCAGTGAGTGCTCTCATTATTGATTGGAATAGATATTCTGTGCTGTACATGCAGCATCTTGGTATATTTTTGATTTTTCATTTATTTTGGAAAAGTGCTGGACATACTGATTTTTTTGTATATGTATGTGTGTATGTGTGTATGTGTGTATATGTGTGTGTATATATGTATATGTGTATATATGTATATGTGTATATATATATATATATATGTGTGTATATATATATATATGTATATATCTCTCTATGTGTGTATGTATATGTGTGTGTATATATATATATCTCTATCAAGAGTTTTTTTTTTTAATTTATCTTTTAATTTTTTTAAATTAAGTAGAATCCAAAATTTCCATAGCTGAATAAAAAGTTAGTACACTGTATAAAATTGGAAGGAGTATGGAAGCTTAACCCTCAAATACATTCAAAGAAAGGAATGGCCAAAAAAGCCACAGGGATAAACTCACACCTATTTCATTGTAGAAGAAAACTGATAAAATTATGTAACACTGTTCTTTAACATTAACAAACCATTTCTACTATGGGGTGACTATACTCTGAAGTACTGTATGTTCCTTTTAAATCTTTATTAACTTGAATTAGAACAAATCACCTCCTTGAACAGGTTTGCACTAAAAAAACTAAACAATTTTCTTATAATAAAGTATACTAAATAGAATGTATATCATATAGTGAAAGCACATAACAGACATAACAACAACTATTAACAAGACAAAAGTGTTCACCCACACTCATCAGACCTTTTGGAAATATGACCGTAGCCCTGTTCAGAATATAATAAAACCTAAAGTGCAGAGTATAAATAATTTGAACAGTCTTGGATAGAAGTAATGGAACTTAAAACATGCTCCTTCTTGTATTAATATAGATTTGTTTAGTAATATGTGTAATAAATGATCACCAGAACCCTTTTATATGTCATATGCTGCTTTAATAATCCAGATTGATGCCTCTTCTAAATTGCAATGGATGCTGGAATTTTAAACATGTGAAGTATCAAAATTACTCGTTTAGTTGGTATTCTTGACAACAATGTTGTAATTTGTGCTTAGAAAGCAGTACAAATTGCATGTTAAAACTTAGCTGTTTGAAATTTATTGTTAAGAGACTCCTATTAAATTATTCTTTTTCTACAATGAAATGGGTGTGAGTTTACCCTTGTGGCATTTTCCTTTCCAAAAATGTTAGACTTGTTTAAGACTAGCTGCTGATAATGGGGAACCGTTTTAGCTTCATGGAAATCTCTGCAAAATAGACCCCCTATTTTTCCCCTATAATTTTGCAATTACTGCCAGAATTTTTACCCAGACGGACGTAGTGCAAAATCATTATTATTTTCTATGAATATTCTTTTCTATTTTAAGATGTAATTTCTTAACTTTTCGCATTCAGAATTTATAATGGGTACATCATATACATGATGTTAAGCCCAGACACATCAAAATTACCCCATTATCATCTGGTTTTAGTCTAATTTTAGCATGTAATACATGTATGCTGGCTGCATTATTCACTGATCCAATAAGCTCTCTTCAAATCTACACTTAAAAGAATACTGTTCTAATGGAGCCCGATCCACTGCGGTTTCCTGGACACATCACTGCCCACACATATGGGCAGCACATGAATAATGTATTAAGATGTACAATGAATATATTTATGTATAAATCATGTGCCTTTGGAGGGAATTCAAATCCTTCACCATTGAGGAATCCTGCTGTATGCTATATGGTACATGGCAGCACACTTCATGTACTGCCCATCAACAAAACCTGATGGATGCACCCAGTATATTATCTATGCAAATGTGTGTATTTTAAGGTGGCTCACCTTAACCTTGGCTAACCTTGACACCATAAATTGTTCCTGGACTATATTTCCCATGATGCTCAGCTAGCTTTTAGAGTCTAAAAGTTAGCTGAGAATCATGGGAAATGTAGTGTAGAAACAATTTATGGTATCAAGCTTAGCCATCACTGATATAGAGGCATAAATTGTAACCGAAGTACAACTTATTTCAGTGTGTTTTTGCTAGAATGCTATGGGTGCACACCCTTTTAGTATTTGTCAAAAGGGTTCTCAAGTAGTTTGTTAAAAACTGGAGCATTTCCCAGTACCCAGTCATAATGAGGTAGTTGGCTATTTGGCTGCAGTGATATGGCACAGCAAAATCCTCCTGTACTCCAGTGCAGAGCTGAGTTGGCCAATAGTGCTGTAGGACTACAACTCTTATTCTTGGCCAACCTTTACAGCATCTTTGGTCTTTTCTGGCTTAGTAAAGTTTTTATTGCATCCGCCATCGAAACATTTTAGTGGAAAATGGCAAAATTATATTTCCTCATTATTATATCATAACATTAGTATGTGCTTAGGTGCTATGGAATTCTCACGTTTTTTTTTTTTTTTTGTTAAAAAAGTGCATTCTATATTGGTCATAACAATTTATAGTGTCTATAGGTGGTTTGATAGGCCTAGAGCGGTCACCTTACAGTCAGCCAATCGCCACTCTCCATTGCTGATATGGCAAATGCTTCCTCATTAGCCTGAGCAGCACAAAGGGAGTCATGCTGCCTTTGATTCTTGTTTAGAGTTTAAAAAAAAAAAAAAAAGGGAGGGGGAGCCAGGGAACGCCAGGCACTATAACCATTTGTTATTTTTTTAGTGTCCCTTTCAAAGGAACACTCTAAGCAGCAAAGCCCACTACTCAATCTTAATATAGCAGACCTGGTGCACTGATGCTGTCCCTTTAGTTGAATAAAGTAAAACATTAGCAAGCATCAGATCGGATTGAGATAATCAGTCCTGAGGTGGAGTGGCTGCTGCGATTAGACTGTCTTGGTGCTAGATTATTGGGAAGTATAATTGCTTATTATTGTTATTTTAAAAAGGGCGGCCCTGAATCAACAGACTGTAAGAAGTACTCTTAAGTTACATAAATATATTTATTTTTAGCATTAGTGTTCAGTGATTACCTGCAGGGATAGCACATCACTTCAAGCCTTTCATTAGCACTAAAGAGTGCAGGGATAATGCAGCAGTTCAACTCCACATTATTTGTGTGGCTGCTGATGGGCCAGACTTTCGGAGCTGGGAGAACCCTGTTTATTAAAGTGCTGTGATTATACCCCTGTTAAAAAGGATGTGAAAGACTCAAAAGACGTCAGCAAACCTACAATGAGCTATAGTGGTTATTGTTTAGAGTGCCTTTTTTATTTTTATTTTCTTAAAGGAACACTATAGTGTCAGGATTAGAAATGTGTATTCCTTACAGTATAGTGTAAATAGCTGTTTAGGCCCCCTGCCCTTCCTTCTCTCTGGTTGAAATGTAATTTTACTAGACTTATTCCAGTGCTGCGCGGGTCCGGTTGCACCTGTCTCTGCTCCCTTGACTGAGACCATCAAACTTAGGAGGCTATCAAGCATGCACGGCAAAACTCCACACTACACCAATCCGCATCTGTGTCAATGCAGAGCGTGGGGACACTAACCATGAGTGTTGATGTTGTCCAGCACTGACCCAGGAAGCACCTCTAGTGGCAGAATGAGTGGTTGCCACTAGATGTGATTCTAGGCAATAATGTATTGTAAACACTACTTTTTCCACATGGGGAGTGCCTAATTTGAGTGCAGCTCTTGCCGTGCATTCATTAGGTTCCCCCTCGTCGGCTGAGTAGGCTCCCTACCCACAGAGGGACTTCAGCGATGCCGCCAGGTAAGTGTTAAACTGATTTAATAACATAGGCGGGGTGAGTGCTGGGGGCGGGGTGGGGTTGGGTCCACAGAGGCAGAGGGACACTATATTGTTAAAAATGTTTTGTCTTACGAACACTAGTGTTCCATTAATGTATACTCCACACCCTTACATAGTTACATAGCTGAAAAGAGACTTGCGTCCATCAAGTTCAGCCTTCCTCACATTCGTTTTTTGCTGTTGATCCAAAAGAAGGCAAAAAAAAACAGTTTGAAGCACAATTTTGCAACAAGCTAGGAAAAAAATTCCTTCTTGACCCCAGAATGGCAGTCAGATTT